CTTATCATAAGATAAGTAGATATGAAGAAGCACTTGCAGATTTTAATAAATCATTAGAAATAAAACCGAATGATGCAAATATACTATGTAATCGTGGGTTAACATATAATAATATGGGTAGATATGAAGAAGCACTTGCAGATTATAATAAATCATTAGAAATAAGACCAAATGATGCAATTACTCTATTTAATCGTGGTAATACTTATATTAATATGAGTAGATATGAAGAAGCACTTGCAGATTATAATAAATCGTTAGAAATAAAACCAAATTATGCAAATGCATTATATAATCGTGGAAATATTTATCTTAATATGAGTAGATATGAAGAAGCATTAGAAGATTATAATAAATCATTAGAAATAAGACCAAATGATGCAAATACATTGTATAATCGTGGATTAACATATAATAATATGGGTAAATATGAAGAAGCACGTGCAGATTATAATAAATCATTGGAAATAAGACAAAATAATGTAGTTATTTTAAATAATCTGGATTAATATATAAGAATATGGGTAGATATTGGAATTTTTGTTAAAAAATAAATAATGACAATAATTATTCTTGGCATTAATGACGTGGCACTATTAACTGGGTCACTATTAGTAAGTCATTATTATAACGTAGATATTATTCAGCAGGTGCATTATAACCGTAGTTATATTGCCACTCAAAATATTTGCTTTTTAATAAAAATAATACTGTCGGCCCTCCCAAAACCGATCCTGTAAAACCGGTAACCTGCCATAAACGATTAAAATTTGGTCCACCATGTCGGTTCCATAAGTAATATCTGATAACCTGATATCCGATACTACGCAATAACTCCAATCTCCTTAAGTAACTCTAATTCTAGTTCTAGATAGATGATAGTAGCAGAATTTTCTCTTAAAAACTTGTGCAAACATCACTGGTTGATTTATTATAATTCTACTTATGCATGTACTGTACATATGATCATTTAATAGGTCAAGTTACAAAAGCAAAATTTATTTCTTTTATGGTGTTATATTTGACTATTATGATAATAAACTTGATATAAGAAATTTTTAGCAATCTTTAACATATTATTAAAATATACCCTTGTTGGC